CAAAAAAGTGGGTGTGATAGGGGGTCGGGGCATACACCAAAATAAACAGTTGCTATCTTTACGGTATAAGAAATAAATATACCAAGTTCCAAGATGATCCATTCAGAATTGCAGCCTGCAGCCGATAACGATAAGGCTATAAGGAATACATATACCAAGTTCCAAGACGGTGCATTAAGAATTTTCGAAAGTAGGCAAGATACAGACACACAAAGAAGAAATGGGTGTGGCTCTGTCTCTGGGGGTCGGGCATTCAATAGAACCAATAGGGATCATCCTTAGGGTATAAGGAATAGGTATGCAAAGTTTCAAAAGGATCTGCTCTAAGAATTGCGGCCTATAGGTGACACAGACAAAAATTGGGCGTGGCTCTGCCCCAGGGGTTCGGACATGCACCAAAAATAAAAGAGGTCATTCCTATAGGTGACACAGACAAAAATTGAGCGTGTCTCTGCCCCAGGGGTTCGGACATGCACTAAAAATAAAAGAGATCATTCCTAGGGTATAGGGAATAAGTATGAAAAGTTTTCAAGACAATCCATTAAAAATTGCGGCCTGTAGTAGGCGACACACAGACACACAAAGAGAAACATACACCAAAATCAGTAGTTGCCGTCATTGGGTTATAAGGAATACAAATGCCAAGTTCCAAGACGATCCCTTAAGAATTGTTACCTGTAGTCAGCACACAGGCACATAAAGAAAAATGGATGTGGCTCTGCCCCTGGGGCTCGGGATTTCACCAAAAACAATACGGATCATCTTTAGGGTATAGGGAATAAGTATGCAAAGTTTGAAGTGGATCCGTTAATGTAGACGACAAACATATACAAACGAAAATGGGCATGGCTCTGTCCCTGGGGTCGGGCATGCACCAAATATAATAGGGATCATCCTTAGGGTATAAGGAATAAGTATAGAAAGCTTCAAGGCGATCAGTTAAGAACTGCGGTCTGTAGACCACACATAGTCACACAGAAGGGGGCGACAGCAATATACGTCCAAACTGTGAATGTCGACGTATAAAAAGGCGTAGGGTCCATTGCGCCGTGAATCGCACCACGAGGGATGTGGGGGTACTCTCACAGAAAATGTTTAAAAATAGATTCAATTTGGTGCATTCTGGGATATATACTTGGCGAGTAACACAAGTTAAATAAAATATAAATTTTGAACATTGGTTTTGTATTAGAACAAACCAATCAAGGTACGAATCCCAAGCAGTAAATAATACAGGCTATATTAGAAAAAATTCGACCCATTTACGAACCCCAGTCAATCCAATCATTCAGAATTTTGTACTCAACCCAAAATGTGTGTGTGTTTGTTAGGGGGGTGGGGGCTTTGTGATTGTATCAGGCTCAGTGGTGAAAAAAAAGGTTTGTTCAGCCATACAACTTTCTTAAATATTATTTACTGTGGTATATCAGACATTTATTCTTGTCTGTGAGTTTTGTAAACGGTTTATATAGTTCATCCATCTTTGGGGGGGGGGGGGGGGATGGCTGAATGTTTAGCGTGCACGCGCTGTATCATAAAGTCTGTCATTGAGTCGACTGGCGTGGTTTCGAATCCCCAGTTGTACCTGACAAGGAGTAGGGTCGCCTGTCCAACCTTGTGGGTTTTCTCCGGGTCCTCCGGTTTCCTCCAACTGCTAAAGACCCCTATGCGCAAGCGAATTATTGAAATAAAATTAAACCATATGTTAGTCCCGAAATGACCTAGTTTGTGTCGAGTGGACGTTAAACCCCATTTCTCTCTCTCTCATCCATCTTTGTCAAAATTTCAATTATCCACTGTTTCTGTCAAAATTTCAATTATCCACTGTTTCGTTAATATTTTTTTTATGAAATAATTTAAATTTTTGAAATGGCGTCTAGTCTGTATAAAACATATCTTTCCTTGTCGGTCACTTTTTGTAATACCTTGAACACTGTTGTGAAAAAAAAAGACTTATGTCAATGATTTAATACACGAGGATAAAAATCAATGGACGTGTTCAATTGATCACGGTCTAATATGATTAAATCTCTGTAGTGGATTCTAAGGCCATATAAAAAGATAGGTTGCCAGGCAACGAAACATTTGCCCACAGCAGCTAATTCATCCGAGCAGTCAACAGGAGTTGTCGCATATTTGTTCTATTGTCAGTAATGAAACATTTGTAATACACTAAAATCTGATTAAAAGTAACAAGTCATTAATTAATTATCAGAAAATCATAAGAATTTGTTTGGCTTTTAGTTCTGCCCAATGGTAACATTTAGTGTACGAAACATTTAATATCTTGAATTTAGCTGTTCCAAGTTATCAAAATCTATTGAAAATCAATATACTTGTTAACCTCAAAATCTTAAACTCTGTTTATCAATCTAAAGTCAATCGGATGATAGCTTTGGTCTCTAGAGCATCCACAAGATTTTTCAAAGTGATCAAGGGCCATAACTCTGGCAGTAATTATCGGAAATCGTTGAAAATCAATAGGCTTCTTCGTCTCATGGCCTCAAACACTGTGTATAAATTTAAAGACAATCGGATATTAACTTTAGCCTTTAGAGCGTCCACAAAAAAATTTCAAAGAGATCAAGGGCCATAACTCTGGCAGTCATTATCGGAAATCGATGAAAATCAATAGGTTTCTTTGACTCATGACCTTAAACAATGTGTGTAAATTTAAAGTCAATCAAATATTAACTTTAGCCTCTAGAGCGTCCACAAGATATTTCAAAGTGATCAAGGGCCATAACTCTGGCAGTAATTATCGGAAATCGCTGAAAATCAATAGGCTTCTTCGTCTCATGACCTTAAACACTGTGTATAAATTTAAAGACAATCGGATATTAACTTTAACCTTTAGAGCGTCCACAAAGATTTTTCAAAGAGATCAAGGGCCATAACTCTGGCAGTCATTATCGGAAATCGATGAAAATCAATAGGTTTCTTTGTCTCATGACCTTAAACAATGTGTGTAAATTTAAAGTCAATCAAATATTAACTTTAGCCTCTAGAGCGTCCACAAGATATTTCAAAGTGATCAAGGGCCATAACTCTGGCAGTAATTATCGGAAATTGCTGAAAATCAATAGGCTTCTTCGTCTCATGACCTTAAACACTGTGTATAAATTTAAAGTCAATCAGATATTAACTTTAGCCTCTAGAGCGTCCACAAGATTTTTCAAAGTGATCAAGGGCCATAACTCTGGCAGTAATTATCGGAAATCGCTGAAAATCAATAGGCTTCTTCGTCTCATGACCTTAAACACTGTGTATAAATTTAAAGTCGATCGGATATTAAAGGAGCTAAATCGCTAATATTTTGGACCTAGAAATTGGCACAAATGGGTCGCAACACATATAATAATGTAATATGAATTCATATAAATTGTTTTACATTCAATCGTGTCCGTTTTACTGTGAATTGTCATCAGTTATGTTCGGCGAAATACGCCAGAAGTCTCAACCGCAAGTCAGTTTCTAGCGTCTGGTTATTCCAGTCAACACCGATATTATTTATTGCGCATGCTCTCCAAATAAGAACATGATATCACCGTTTGACAGGACTTGTGGAATATGTCTAGCCTCATTCTTTGAGCACCTTGTTACAAATGGCGCATAAACGCCTTATGGTACACGATTCGTGTACCAATGGTAAAATGTTTATTTTGTCTTAAATATTGGATATCAGAAGCCCATCTTTTCCAGGTAAGATCACAACACCAATGCTGATTTAAATTGCCAAAAAATTCGTGTTTTCAATGTCGAAGATTTTGGATGATATTGAGTTACGGACTTAGCTACTTTAACTTTAGCCTCTAGAGCATCCACAAGATTTTTCAAAGTGATCAAGGGCCATAACTCAGGCAGTAATTATCGAAAATCGTTGAAAATCAATAGGCTTTTTCGTCTCATGACCTTAAACACTGTGTATAAATTTAAAGTCAATCGGATATTAACTTTAGCCTCTAGAGTGTCCACAAGCAATTGTGGACGCCGGACCGCCAGACGGGGGCGACAACAATATGCGACCACATTTCAATGTGGGCGTATAAAAACAGTTTAAATATTTCACCATTCCACCATAATAAAGGTTGAATTGGTATTTCGGGAAAATCGAAATGAAACTGCCCGACAAAATGGCCGCTCTTTGTATGCAAATTGTGTAAAAGTATGCAATACGAAGGTTGTGGACCCTCTAGAGGTCACAATTTTTATCTGATTCTAATGAAACTTAAAACATATCTTTATATCCCAAAGATCTCAGTCCTATTTGATATTTGCACATTTCAGACCATAACTTTCTGTATTAATGCCCCTGATTGTACAAAAAATCCTGTTTGTTTTTAGCTTGTTTTCTATCCATCTCTTGCAAAATGTGGGTGTATCCTGCCTGGCAGCCGCAGGTTTTTATATAAAAAGGGGGTGTAACTCTAGAATGGAAGGTTGCAGAATGGTGAAAATCAATAGGATGCGTCCTTTCATGCGTCCCATACTTCTATGATGTTGATGAGTACATGGACAGACAAACATGGGTGATGATATAATATATTGACACTGAAATGGGTGTGTATAAAAATGACCAAAGTATTATGAGACAATATTATTTCAATGTTCATGGTATTGTGGAGCAATGGAAATTGCAAACTGTAAAACTAAAAGAGAGAGAGAGAGAGAAATGGGGTTTAACGTCCACTTGACACAAACTAGGTCATTTCAAGACTAACATATGGTTCAATTTTATTTCAATAATTCGCTTGCGCGTAGGGGTCTTTAGCAGTGGGAGGAAACCGGAGAAAACCCACGAGGTTGGACAGGCGACCCTTCACCCTACTCCTTGTCACATACAACCATAAAACTAAAAGACGTATTTTGAACTCCTGACATATGCATTATGTACAGTGACACTAAAATAATATTAGCAACGTTATTCTTCCATACAATTACAACTTAACCAACATATCTCCCTTTAATAAGTGCTAGTATGAAATTAATTACAGTAGTCAGAAAAGATATTGATATTTTATTTACAGGCACCTTTACACTACAGGTACAAAAATTATATCTCATAATTTTTTGCATTTGCACTTATCATTGAATTTCATTCAATTAGTGTTGATTGTACAGTTGTAACATTTACTCAAATGATTTCTATGCGAAATGTCTGTTCTTAGAATTTGACATGACCGATCTTCTAACCATTCACAATGAAATGAAAATTAAATAAAATGAAATGACATTTACACCATAAAACCCATAATAAATCGTATTCAATCTGTTAAAAATGTCTTCTTCATTGTTTATATTCACACTTTCACATTGTTCACATGAATCGATCTCAGGATTTAATACTTGTGTCACGAGATCTATAAGCGATTCCTTTTCTTCCTAAATCTCTGACAATTCCTGGAGGTAATTTACCAGTTACTGATATAGCATAAACACCCTTCGCACATCTACCTGTTAATAAATAGAAGACACTTATAAGTTGTTAGTACTTTTGTTAATATCTAATGTATTGTACGATGTAATGTTGATACAATAAAATAAGTTTAAACTTTAAACTAAAAATTAACTAAGATCCAATTAATACATCTCGATCAGATTGAGACTAACAAGGTAGAGCTTTATTTCATAGTTGTTTAAGCATGCATAACTGTTCTGTAGTGAGAGAAAAATGTAGAATTGGGGAAAGTGGCAAATGATGACTCTAATCCTAGTGTAGTTGCACTCATCATAGCCTGTAGTGATTACAGCCCTAGATCTATAGCACAATGTTTTGGAATATAACCCATAGCATATCTATCAAATAACATCTATACTTTATAATGTACCTACAAACTGATGCTACCTTTATGACAACAACTGAATCGATCAGAAACGTGAATGGAGTCTGTGAAAAAAATTGTGAAGACAATTTATTCAGATCTCCATTAAATGATACTTACCTATTCTTTGCCATTTAGCAACCCAACTATCTTCATTTCCCATCATAGCAACCATACTGTAATAAACAATTACATCATATCAATGATCAATACATTTACAAGTTCGTTTTCTATAAATTTATTCCCTAAAGTTTACAGTATCATGTGGACAATTCAGATGATTGTCCTATTGCTCTCTGCTACTAATTTTTACAAAGTGAACCAGCGGCTGCCAGGCAGGATACACCCACATTTTTCAAGAGATGGATAGAGAACAAGCTAAACAAAAAGTGACTTTTCGTAACATCAAGGGGCCCAATTCAGGAAGGTACGATCCGATATGTGCGAATATCGACAGGAACCAAAATCTTTGGGTTATAAACATGCATTTCAAGTTTCATTAAAATCGGATCAAAATTGTGACCTCTAGAGGGTCTACAACCATGACATACCAGATGTTTATAAATTGTAGCCTCTAGAGAGTCCACAACCTTGATATACCCTATTTTTAGTTTTTACACGATAAGATTACGAGTGGCGGCCATTTTGTCCGGCAGTTTTGGTCCGATTTACACGAAATTCAAACTCAACCATCATTAGGGTGTAACGGTGGTATAATGAAACGTTTTTTTAAATTGTATAAAAATTGTTAACTCAATTTTTCATACGATCAAGGGCCATAATTCAGGAAGTTACGATCTGATATGCGCAAATATCGAAAGGAACCAAGATCATTGGGTTATAAACATGTATTTCAAGTTTCATCAAAATAGGATCAAAATTGTGAGCTCTAGAGGGTCCACAACCTTGATATACGATATTTTTACCATCATTAAGGTGTAACGGTGATATATTCACAGGTTTTCTTTTAAATCGGATAATAATTGGGACCTCCATAGGGTCCACAAGCTAAAAAACGTGATTTTTCGTACAATCAGGGGCCATAAATCAGGAAGTTACGGTCCAATATGCGCGAATATCGAAAGCAACCGAGATCTTTGGGTTATAAACTTACATTTTAAATTTCAACAAAATCAGATAAAAATTGTGACCTCTAGAGTGTCCACAAGCTAAAAACATGATTTTTCGAACAATCAAGGGCCATAATCCATGAAGTTTGATCCGATACATGCCAATATCAAAAGGAACCAAGATCTTTTGGAGATAAACCCATATTTCAAATTTCGTCAAAATCGGATAAGAATTGTGACTTGTAGAGTGTCCACATACAAATTGTGGACAGACAGACGGACATACGGACGGACAGGGGTGACGACAATATACGTCCACATGAAAATGTGGCCGTATAAAAACAAATGGTTAGACTCATGAAGATGAACTTCCTAATTAAATAAGAAGTGTTATCAGATGTTTTTGAATCAGTGAGCATACCCTGGTCCCTGCAAGCAGAACTTTGCTGGTGATAATATTTTCCACTAGTATACATGTGGTTTCCTCGTTTTATCAATTCTATAATTCAAAGTTACATGTATTTATTTACCCATCAAAATTGGAACTTGTACATTCATAAACATTGTCCCTATTGTTCTTCATATGTAGATGTTCTTCACAATTATCACATCCATCATATTCAAACTGCTCAAATGTCTGAATGAAATAAGATATAATACAGCTACAGAGGTGATTTAAAATATTTTATTAAAATTATTATGACAGATAGTTTGATTACGTGTATTGGCCTATATATGTAACATGGAATACAATATTTCATATAAATTATGCTGAATCCGATCCTTAGGTAATAATTTTCTAAATACGGATGCAATGGGATTTAGTGGATGATACATCAAAAATATCCCCACAACTAAATTCCAAATTTGAGGATTATCTCCTCTTAGCTTCAATAGCGTAGCTGCATCTTGTATTGTCTGCTGCTACAATTCATCCATCCTTCAAGGCTTTACAAGTAAAAATTTAAAAAATAGCTTTAAACGCATAATTCTCAAAGATCACAATCTGTATTGAAATAAGTAATTATATCACAAATTGTGAAGAGTGGGCCACTAAAATAGTTACTGAATTCCCTTGAATTACAACTACACTTTACAGCATGTAATTTTCCAGGTTGGCTTGGGTTGTTATGCCTCCAGGACACATGATTTGTATAACTGTAGCACCACATCGATATTTTGTTTAAATATACTTTTCAAAGAAGTAATGGGATATTCAGAAACAATACAAAACTTCGGAAATGCACTGCTGTTTTTATTAGAGGTAACCAGTGTATGTTAATAATAGGCCAATTGTCTACATATGAACATACAGTTCATATGGGCGGCCATACTAAACTAAGGCTGCCTGTCTACAGTTAGCTCCACTTGAGAACAGACCCTAAGGCTAAGCTAGTTAACCGACATTTTGAATCCTAAATTGATGATTTTAGTCGAAAATACTAAGTATATTTCGAGAATTCTGAGAAGTACTTATTCTGCTTTCATTTAATGGAATTGATTAGATTTATTTAGTCTTTGTGTGTATGCCACATTTCTTAACTTCTTTAGAGATGGGCAGTCCTAGAAATTTATGTTTTATTAATAATAATATAAATATAACATGATCATCATCATTTTTATGTCAACATAAATTACATAGCCCCCCAATTGTAGACATTGGACGCCCCATATCTCGCAAACACCCCCTCAAACGCCTGATCACCACCCAGATTCCTTCAGCCACCGGACAATTTTAGTATTATACATTCAATGGTCATATCTCAGCAAAACTCAAAATAATGGATTATCAATTACTTTTATCAACGAACACATTAAACATGCTCGTAAATGTCGCAAATCTTTCGGTACAGTTTCAAGAGACATTTTCTGTAATTTTGCTTGTTTAAAAACTAAAATTTACACAGCGACTTCTCGGAGTTATCACCCCCTCTGTTACTTTCCGGTGTAACAGTGTGAGATGGTTCCTGGTGTGTGATTACCCTTTTGCGCATGCGCAGTTGTAGGAGTATTAAATTTTACAGTATTACTGTATCATCAAGGAGAGGGTGTCGAGTTTCTATAGTTTGTTTATATCGATAAAAAGTAGAAATACAAAGTGTCTAAGGCGCGGATTCACCAATAAAGGGAGTCGTAGCAATTTCAATTTGCGTTGATCCAAAATCTCCGCTCCCGTGACGTCAGAGCGATATTTTTTCCGTGAGCGTCTGCCGTATTATAAACGGTATAAATTGGCCCATTCGCGGTTAGAATCACCGGAATTCACCGGAAATCATTTACAATCACCCGAATTTACTTCGAAAATCCGCGATTCCTCCCACAAAACTAATTTATTTTAAATGTATAATACATTATATAACGAATAACTATTTTGACCTCTCCACAGGCCGGACGAAGGCGCTGTAAGTGTATTTATTTGAAAGACTATAATATCGGTTCGGAATTCATTTCAAATATATGCATCATGATTATGATAACGTAGCTGGGAGTGGGTGCGTCGGGGGATGCGTCGAATTACCCAATAGGCCTAACTCCAAAATAACACAAAATAACAATTTGTGTCAAATTACCCAATAACTCCAAAATAACACCTAATTACTCTAAAAATGTTGACTGTGGAAACACAAAATAACAATTTAGGTGAATTTAAGTGTGTGTGAGTTAGTTTTATTTAACGTCCGCTTCCACCGAGGTGATATCGCAGACAAAAGGTGAATTTAAGTGTGTGAGTTAGTTTTATTTAACGTCCGCTTCCACCGAGGTGATATCGCAGACAAGGTGAATTTAAGAAGCCTCGCTGCTTTATATGCCCAACTCGGAGGTTCACGGGAGATAACTCGTGTATGTGATTTTTGTTGACAAAAAATAAATGTATACTTTCGTTGCAATTCGTTGTAATGTATTGTACTTAGAGATTGATTAATAGTTTATTGAAAAAGTAATATGTACATGAAACATATATATATATATATATATATATATATATATATATATATAGTGCAATAAACAATTTAATATTATAGCTATATGATTCTAGAGAAAATCAACAAAAGGGCCGTGTCAAAAATAATAATTAGGTTAAACATAAATGTGAACTTCATATCCACTGCAAATTAATTATTAAAATAACTACGAAACACGTTAGTGTTGATTTAAGCAATAATCAGTAAGGATTAAGCCGAAATTGCGTGACCCCTGTGTTTTTGCGTCTCGTTATTTCAAGAAATGTTAGGTTTGACATTTTACATGGATTACTGCGGTGTTCTTATCATATCGTGTTTCCCCGAGATGACCATCTGGAAATATCGTTTTACAGCAGATACATCCGAGTTTAATATTAATGCAAAATATAAGTAAATACAATTGTCTTGGGGCGAATTCCGATTTTCTCAAAGTGAATTCCGGTGTTTTAAAGTAATTTATTATTAATGTAAAATATTAGCAAATGCGAAGGTCTTAAGTGCAAATTCAGATATTTTGTAAGTGAATTCCGGTGTTTTAAATTAATTTTTTAGTAAAATATTACAAATACGAAGGTCTGAAGTGCGAATTCCGATATTTTGAAAGTGAAATCCGGTGTTTATGTTTTCAATGTGAATTCCGGTCATTGCTGTGTTCTAAAGTAATTTATTATTAATGTAAAATATTAGTAAATACGAAGGTCTTGAGTGCGAATTCCGATATGTTGAAAGTGAATTCAGATGTTTAAATGTTTTCAAAGTGAATTCCGGTGTTTATATGTTTTCAATGTCCGATTTTCTCAAAGTGAATTCCGGTGTTTTAAAGTAATTTATTATTAATGTAAAATAATAGTAAATACCATGGACCTTATAATACATAAGTTCCATGTAAACACGAAGATCTTAAGTGCAAATTCCGATATTTTGAAAGTGAATTCCGGTGTTTATAATATTTTCAATGTGAATTCCGGTGTTTAAAAGTAATTTATTATTATTATTAAAGAGACAATAACACTCTTGCTGGCTTGACAGATCCAGAAAATAAAAAAAAAAATAGCCTTATTCTAAGTACTAGATGTGTTAGTGTCCTAGTTACCTGTTGTGTAAATTATCCATTAAATCCTATTTTACTTGTCCAGAGGGTTCAAAAATATTTTAATCCAAGTCACATTTGAAAAGCTTTACATCAAGCTTTTCAAATCATTTAGTTGAATTTTTCCAATTTTTTAAATTAGGTGTGTTAAGATGAAATTTGTATCATCAATTAATTGGAATATTGTAAAATAGTGCAATTTGTTGACCTGAATAAAGATTGGGACATATTATTCAGTTACAACAAGAGTGGTATTGAGCCTTTAATGTAAAATATTATATAGTAAATACGAAGGTCTTAAGTACGATTTCCGATATGTTGAAAGTTAATTCCGATGTTTATATGTTTTCAAAGTGAATCCCGGTGATTTAAAGTAATTTATTATTAATGTAAAATATTAGTAAATACGAAGGTCTTCAGTGCGAATTCCGATATGTTGAAAGGGAATTCCGGTGTTTATATGTTTTCAATGTGAATTCCGGTGATTTTATGTGTTTTACGGTAATTCAATATTAAAATTAATAGAAAATAGGAAGATTTTACGGGCGAATATCTTCAGGGGGGTTGGATGGCTGAATGGTTAGGGTACGCGCGCTGTATCATAAAGTCTGTCATTGAGTCGACTGGCGTGGTTTCGAATCCCCGGTTATACGTGACAAGGAGTAGGGTCGCCTGTCCAACCTCATGGGTTTTCTCCGGGTCCTCCGGTTTCCTCCCACTGCTAAAGACCCCTATGCGCAAGCGAATGATTGAAATAAAATTAAAACCATATGTTAGTCCCGAAATGACCTAGTTTGTGTCGAGTGGACGTTAAACCCCATTTCTCTCTCTCTCTCTCTTTCTCTCTCTCTGATATCTTCAAAGTGAATTCCGGTGATCGTAAGTTAATTCCGGTGATTGTAATTAAATGATTTCCGGTGTATGGCTTTGGTCAAATAATATTGTAAGTTAAAGTTTGGACTGAAATACTGATAAAATTGATGAATTTTAAATAGGTTCTACACATAACTGTTTTAAAATATCTCAAATTTGACGAGTTACAAGATTTTCTACACATATTATGTCGAGTAATCTCCCTTTAATGATCAAAATATCGGATTTACGAATCATATTAAATTTAAATATTGTCATTGTAAAAGGTGACAAATCACAATCACAACACAATAAACTATCATAACACGAGAATACTCTGAGCAGAGACAATTACGTATCTAAATTGATTTCATTTATTTATTTCAAAACAAGTTACGATGTCGATGACCGAAAGTGACAATCGACACAATTTGCAATTATAAATAAATAAATATAGCTATAATATTGAATTGTTTATTGCACTATATGCTATGTATCATAATATGTTTGATGCATATAATTACAGTTTCAATAAACTATTAATCAATCACTAATTACAATACATTACAACGAATTGCAACGAAATTATACAGTTTCTTGTCAACAAAAATCACATATTTAGGGCACGATCGAGTTATCTCTCATGAACCTCCGATTTTGGGCCCAAAGCAGCGAGGCTTCTTAAACTCAATTAAATTGTTATTTTGTGTTTCCACATTGTGTTTCCACAGTCAACATTTTTGGAGTTTACGGGTAATTCGACGCGCCCTACGTTATCATAATATGATGCATAATATTTGAAATGAATTCCGGTAGTCTTTCAAATAAATTTTTACAGCGCCTTCATCTGGCCTGTGGAGAGATAGTTATTCATTATATTATAATGTATTATGCATTTAAAATAAATTAGTTTTGTGGGAGGAATGGGGGTTTTCCAAGTGAATTCCGGTGATTATATGTGAATTCCAGTGATTACTCGGGCCCATATAGTTTCGCTTACATTTCGATAGTTTTTGAGTCTGAATCTTTGCAGATAGGCTATTGAGATTGATATTAAACTATTACAACACAATTGCTATAGCTAGTAATACATTTAAATAAAATAGTAATTTAGAATCATAGATGGAAGTGGGCTATATTTCAGCCGGCTGTCAGATTTCACGCTATTAAAGTCACGTGACCTGAAACCCATACTACGAGTAATAAAACAGATAGGCTATACTATATTTTGTGAAGTTGTAAAAATTTTAATAAGAAGTACAAAATTAAAATAACAATGATACAGAGAAATCCCAATCATATAAAGGCCAATATTCAATCTACAAAATAGTTAATTATTAAAACATCAAAAAGTGTAACGACTAATCACGAAAATAAAAACAACGGCAACAATTAATCACGGATGATAGAACTATCAATTTAATTTTCAAGCCAATCAACTCAGATCCGTGGATCGTGTAACTACTGATCACTAAAACAACAGCTAATCACGATAACAAGTGTATTTATTAATGACAAAACTCTAACCAAATACGTTATACTTTTTCCCGAACTGATCAGTGATCAGGAACCATCGCACATCACCGGAAGTAAATTTCGTTGTTAACGCTAACAACAGCTTCAGACATGCGCAAAAGCCCCTGAGCAAACACACACCGGGAGTCAATTCAAACTGTCACACCGGAAAAAATGGATGAATACAGTTTGTAGAACTTATATAAAAAAATATGACGACGTAATTGAGTTTTATTGAAATAAACGAACCGGATTGTTGATATCCAACATAATTACAAGTACATTTCTAAACATTAATCTCTCGAGCTGTAAGAAATATAGTAATTTATAACGCACTTCTTACCGGAAGTTACTATTGCTATAAGGCAGTTGTTTGGTTCAGTCGCGCTTGACTGGATTATGGGCTTCTAGGCCTATATTGTTTACTATTTATCTCAAGACGACCGTCTACGCACAGATTAGTATGATTACCTATAAATACACGTGACCGTTCCTTGATATCTATTTCATTGACACCCGGTAATTTTAAATATCATTATTTTGTGTGTGTGAAATGCTTTATTACGGTAGGCCTATCGGACTAATGCCGTTATGGCAATGCAATGGTTATTATTGTTTTACTGTGGCATTGTTTTGTGTCTGGTTTAATGATTAATTTGTCATAGCACTAATAGCAGTACTACAGACACAGTACAGTAGGCTAGTGATAGGCTAGTGATAGGCTAGTGACATTACACCACCTTCTTTCATTTTTTTTTTTTTTTACCTCGAATCAGACACTGCATAGTTTGTATCAAATCAATTGTCTCATATTGTCAACGATTGAAAATTGTTTTTTTCAATCGTAGATCTATATTGTTCAATCAATGTGGCTGTACAATATACCGAAAAAAATCCAAAAAGTACCGAAATATACTGAACAAAATTTTTTGATCGAAATTAACGAAGAAATCTAACAAAACTACTGAAAAATCACTAAATTAATATTTACCGAAAAAGAAACACTAATTACTGAAAAGAAAACCCTAGCCTAGGCCACTCAGACTAGACCATGCATAAAAATTGGGGGGAACTATACATGTAAGTCACGCATGAAAATTGGGTGCTAGTATTTGCTGTGGGGTGTCCAATTGGGATCTCACACCAAATTTCAGACCAATCAGTCAATAACTTTTGATTTTACACAACTTTTACTTCTCCCATTTTCTGACACACAGAGCTTGTCGTGCGGCCATGTTGTTTACTATTGAGACTCGAATACCAAGACACTAAATTAATATGACTTGCTGAACGCAAGCAAACTTCTACCATCACTGATCAAAAATAATAATAATAACAATTTTCGTCATTTTTTTAAGTAGCTGTTCCTTACGACTGTAACTAGCTGCGGTAGATCAGTGAAAAAGTGCTGGCTGGATAATCAGATGGTTTGATTTCGATTTTTGATGAAAATGGTCAACGGTTATACGACCAATGGTCTCTTTATCAGTTGTAAATGCATGAGAAATGAGACCATGTCACAATTTTAATACATGAGACTATAATAATTTGTACACCTAGTACTCCCCGTGATCGTAGAGACTTCAGATTTGATGAGGGTGTTCAGGGTTACTACTTATGACTTCACACACACCAAATTTCAGATCAATAGGTCAATAACTTTTGATTTTACACAACTTTTTTTTTCTTTAACATTTGGAAATCGTACCTTGGTGGTCTCTATAACATCCTTAATGCATGAGACCATGTCTCTTTAACAGTTTTAATGCATGAGACCATAATATAGCACCTTGATGGTCTCTTTAACAGTTGTAATATATGAGACCATATATTACTAATGCACTTTCGTACACCTAGTACTTCCTATGATGTGATGTGATCGTAGAGTCTTAAGATTTGCTGAGGGTTTTAGAGTCACTAATAAAATGAACTCGCACCAAATTTCAGACGAATCAGTCAATAACTTTTGATTTTTCACAACTTTTCTTTAACAGTTTGAAAGCATACCTGGGTGGTCTCTATAACTTTTGTAATGCACGAGACAATGCCGTATACCTCGATGGTCTCTTTAACAATTTTGATATGGGACCATAATATACAATCTGAATAAAACACAGATCCAATTTCATTTCGTTTTTATAGTTCAAAATTTCAATTTTACTTGGATTTAGAAGCGTTGTTATTTAACTCGTGTTCTGCTTGAAATGAGGGGTCAGCCAATCAAATGGTCTGTCGAATCGGGCGTTTAACCTGTTTTTGCGCGGAACTGTGGGTAGACATTAGCGGCAATAGAGATCAAAACAAAGCAAAAGTAGATAAAAAAATACATGGCGATCGCTAGTTGGTTAATCGAATGACTGACGTAATCGGGTCAAATGTCACTTGCTTGGTACCTGACGTCATAGAACTTGAACTCCCACTATAACTTGTTAGATCTACATGTAGTGTAAGGCCATCGAAAGTATAAAAAAACGAAACGAAATATAGATCTATATTTTAAACATGTATTATGCAAGAGCAAAATCTGCTTATTACAAGTCTTTCTTTAGGCCTGATATGTTATCTAAATTATCAATTAGACATTAATTAACTTATCCAGGCCATAATAAACTCTCGATGTGAAGGCTAGCCTTCGATGTTGGCTGGATTAGATTCCTATATGCCGCTAACGGCTATTGATAATTAATCAATAAAAATGAATAATCGAGACTATGCTGTTTATATTAATGATTTTAGTAATGATGACCGAGACAATGCAAAAATTTCAGCCGCTTCTTTCTCGGCTCATAGTGGATCAATTTGACTGAAATTTTCAGCAAATTACCTTTACACTATCTAGTTTTTAACTATTATAGCGAGAACTGCCATCTCTTTATCTTATCTCCCATAATGTATCTTTAATTAGATTGCATAATATAGCACCGTGACAGTCTCTTTAACAATTGTAATTTATGAGACCATATATTGCTAATTGCACTTTCGTACACCTAGTGCTTCCGGTGATCGCAGAGACCTGAAATTTGCTGAGGGTGTTTGGGGTCACTAATTATGAACTGACCCAAAATTTCAGATGAATAGGTCAATGACTTTTGATTTAGGCCACAGTAGGGCCTCATGCATTAGAACAGTTTAACGTCCTGCTTTTCTGCCCGAACTAGGCTATGAAGATGCTTTTTCAGGCATTCAGATTCTGCCCCCTAAGATTTGCCTATGTCCATTCAGTTCAAACATTTTAATCTTTTTCTAGAAACATTATGTAGGAATATTAGAAATTGTAAATATATTGATGGCATAGAATTTGGAAAAAAAATCATCAAATGACTATAACTTGTTTATTGAATGATTTCAACACCACACCTATTTGAAATTTTAATGTAATTAATGCAATCAAAACTGAGATAGTGAGATAGCAGACTAAAATAGCAGTAATGAATTTGGGAATAATTTTACAGAAAGAAAATATTAAGATTTTGGGTTGGGAATCGATTTCATAAAGAATTTTGTATGAACACAATGAACAGGTGGACAAAACGAAATCTGACATTAGTAGGGAAACGTAGCCTGGTTACAAAAGCATTCTGTATCTCTAAATTTAATATTTTACCCAACGTTACCGATAACTAATCCAGATTATTATTTCATAGTTTAATAAGATTATATTCAACCACTCGTGGTCAGGCCCTTGTAAAAATTAACAAAATGTCATTATGGTAGATTTCCATGAAATGTTGAAGAGCCGAATTGTCTTTTGGATAAAGAAATTACACTCATAACAAAAATAACCATGGAAAATTATTTATGAATATATTCCACAAAATTGTAATCAACATTTAATACCAATCTAATTTTAATATTAGGGACATTGTCTCAACCCTTTCTACACAAACATATTTCAGAATTGGTAATAACATACACATGTTATATTGAAAAATTGTTTCCCTTCAAAAATCAATTGATCTGAAATAATCATAATTTAAAAATTACAATTAAATCCAAAATTATGAATACATTAATTAATGATAATATTTTATTTTTTTCCTTATATATCGGACATTGGCCTTCAGAGATATTTATGAAACGCTTATACAAAATAACTACACAAAACGTATAGCTATTGCCAAATGGAAAAAAAAAGATTACTGTAAGAAGATCAAGTACAACATATTTTTTACACTGATACAAGAATAACGAAAGATTAAAAAATAGTAACATTTCGTTTTAGATATATCCATCATATAATTTACTGTGATTTTTGTAATGCTATAGTTGAAAATATAGACTACATGTATCTCTTCATTAAATGCACGTATTATCAAAGATAATGGCATAAACTATACAAGACATTAGTTTGTAATAATATATATATATACCATACCACCATTATAATTAAACACTTATAGACGGAGAGATATCGTTTCTGTTTGTTAAAGAAACATTATGGGAGATTCGATAACGAGTTGGCAGTTAATGTACATGTAAAGGCAATTTGCTGAAAATTTCATTCAAATTGATCCACTATGAACTGAGAACTAAGCTATTGAAATTTCCGCCTAGCCTCGATCATCATTACTAAAGTCAGTATGATAAACAGCATAGTCTCGATTATCCATTTAATCGTTAAATTGTGAAGGAAAGTTATGCAGTAAATCGGCTCATAATCCACTAAAGATCGCAGGCTATCAATGCCATCTAGACTTGATTATTGTCTGGATAGGTTAATTAATGTCTAATTAATAATTTAGATAACATTTCAGGCCTAAAGAAACACCTAAAATAGACAAATTTAGCTCTTGCATAATGTATGTTTAAGTACCGAGAGCAAATTGCAAAATAATTTCTTTCACTGGAATTTAGTAAAGGGTTACCTAAACGAGCCATTTCCAAGATATGGAGGCCAGAAAGTCCAATTGGTGGCCATCTTGGATTTATGCTAATTATGAAAAACACTACAGGGTTTCAGCGGACAATTTTGAGTTGGAAGTCCTTTAGAAATCTCTTTACTAGATTCCAGTGAAAGAAATTCTTTTGCAATTTGTTCTTGGTATTTTTTTTTATATCTCTCCGTCTATTAAGTGTAATCTCACATGAGAACTTGTGAATGGTTATTTTTGCATCAAGGATAAGTGAATCTTGAATTACAAACGGATCTTTTACATTCTTTCCTATTCTCTTGGGGAATTCATTGTCTTAAAACATTACAAACCATTTACTCCTGAAATACATTTAAAGCTAAGCTAAACACTTTCCTTTTCACAGATGCGTTCTGCATATCTCAATACAAAAAACCTGAAAAATATCCGATGAAATAAAGAGACCGTAATGTACCTTCATGGACCCTTCACAATTTTAATGCATAACTTTGAATACACAGGATAATTATGTATGTTGATGGTCTATTAAACAATTTTCATTTCATGGGACCATATGCTATAAGACAAGGGACCACATTGTCCTGTATGGTCTCTTTCAAAGTTTTAATTACATGGGACCATATCTCATGACTGTTCTAATACACGAGACCCTACCATGCCCTAAAATAGGAGACCATATTGTTGTACCTTGTAGTGGTCTGTTTAAAAGTTTTAATTGCATGAGACCACATCGT